GCAGAGATATCACCAGGCCGCCGACGTCCCCGGCCCCGACCTCCCCCAACAGCGTCGCGACGTCAGCAGCAACGGCAGACAGCACCATGTCGAACCTTGAGGCCCCGAGGCCAGTCCACGCCGCGGGCACGCCGGCACACACGCCGACGCCGACCCAGGCGGGCCCTCGCCGTGGACTTCCCAATCACGCCACGCCTGACGGGCTCGAAGCGAATGAGCCCACCAGCAAGACTTGGGAATCATGCGCGCATAGTCAGCACCACAGGGTCAATAAAGAAAGGAAGCGGCTGAGGATAGTCTGTGAAGTGCTTGTCGTGCTGCTCATCTTTGCATGTATGGTCTTCGCGGCCGTTCTGGCGGTATGCACAAAATGAATAGTATGGCCAGCGAGGAGGTGGTGTGTCTTGTCGAAGGGCGAGTCGGGGCAACGATCCGGCAGGAACGTAACGAAGAGGACTCTCGAGGTCGGCGACTTCGATGCTTATACATCATTTGCAACCAGTAGTAATGATTACACCTAGAACGCAACCCCCTTGATTCGCAACCGGAGCCGTGGCGTATGTCTTCCGTTCGCATGGATGCTGTTGCAGATAGCTCCCTAAAGGCCGGACGGTAGGAGATAGATCGGTGCCTAATCTCTTGGAGTAACCCCTACGTGAAAGCCAAGAACTCCAAAACTTGGGAGGGTTCCTTGGTGCGAGTCACGTATGTGGAGGATAAGCGACTCCAACTACGTCTTCGAGCCCCCCATCGCAGGGATGGCGCGCGCCATCAGGCTACAATGTATACCCAACATCCCACTCGCTAAGCCATCAGCGGTTCCTTGCGCTCGTGTACAGACCTCTGGCGATGCTACACTGCGAAACCATGCAGAGACTGTAACTTCATCAATGGTAGTGGCTGCGGCCTCGGGCGCGCAGGGGAACAAGGCAACCACCTCGCAGATGGCTCAGCATCATGCTCGTTTCGTGCGCCTGGCAATTACCCCGTACTGCCCCCCCTCTCCCCTTCAGCGCCGTGGATGTTTCGTCTCCGGAGCGGGCGGGGCGGGCGGCCAGGCCTCGCTACGGTCACGAGGAGGAAACGACATGCGGGGCAGGCGACAACTTGCCCGCCGCCGTGCTTCCCGGCTGCATTCCCATGACTTCCAGGTCCGAGTGCACCGGGTTTCTTCGACGCAGCGAGTCCATGACTCGGCTTCGTCAATATCAAGAGTGCGACCCAGGTAACGGTCGGACCAGTCTTCTCAGGGAATCCCGATCCTCGGCGTGCGAGTGAGGATTTCTAAACTGGTCAGGTGTGCGCTG